CTCTGAGGAAAAAATTCTGGCCACTGGCAGTCATGGCAAATTGTTTTTCATCTTAGTGTTCAGTTATGTTTTTTATTTAACTCCAAACATGATCCCTTAATGTCCACAGATAAATGTAGTATTTTCCTAAAGCCGAAGACTGTAAAGGTTTCAAAGGTCAAGCCTTTCTCCAAAGGATTAACTGAAAATAGCTTAGCTACTTCCCAGTTCTTTGTTCTACAGACAAAAAAACCATCCTCCCTAATCCTTTTCCAGGTGCAGCCCATTCACCTGGGCGTCTTGCCTTCCCGAAAACCTGGCTCAGGAAGCCAAAACAGCGGGACTCCGCCCAAGCCTTTTGTCCTTCCCTTTCACCTTGCCCCAACTGAGCTCAGGGGCTATAGATATGTTAATTGAGCCTGAAAAACCAAGTTGCGGGCCTGGGATTCGAACCAGCGACGTACTACGTAAAGTTACCTGAATGTCTGGAAAATTACTGATGTTAGCTGTACCTTGTCTTAGTCCCTCCCAGCTTGGTGTGAAGCTCCTCCCCTAAATAAAACGGAGACTCAGGCCAGCCCAGGTGTGCATTATGGCTTGGAGGGCATGTAGTACAGTTTGCAGGGCAGTGAGTTGCTGCCTGCAAAGGCCACCACGATGTCTATAGTCCCAAGTCTGCCCACCAGTAATGCATCTACCCTGGTTTCGGGGTGCCTCATTGTCCCCCTCCTTCTGTCTTTCTGTGTATTCTTTTGCTATCCCTATCGCCGCTGGATCTCCCCTCCTCGTGAACCAAACACTCGTGAACAACACAACTATGTCGAGGACAGTCCCCGACACACGTCCATGTTCATAGCAGCCCTATTCACAACAGAAAAAAAAAAAAAAAGGAGACAGTCTAAATGCCCATCAACAGAAAAATAGTTAAACAAACTTTGGTACATACACACAATATAAGACTACAAAACATTAAGGTAAATCTTGAAATACCTCATAATATGGATGAACCTGGAGGACATTATGCTACGTGCAATTAGTCAAACAAAAAAGACAGATATTGTATCAGTTCACTATTGTAAAAAGTCAAGAAAAGGTTTTCATGCTAAAAGAAACATTCTACGTTGGAGGGAAGGGAAACTTATTCACTGGCTAAATATTAACTTGGGTGATGCGGAAGGCAGTTAAAAAAAAAAAGAAAGCATAAAAAATATTAAATTATATTTAATTTTTTTTCAAGAAAAGAATAGAGAAAACATTAGCAGAGACTTTGGGGACAATCTCAAAAAAAGTCTTGATAGTACAATAGCTAAATGCTCAGCCGCTAACCACAAGGTTGGCAGTTCAAACCCACCCAGTTGTCCCTCAGGAGAAAGACCTGCCAATCTGCTCCCATAAAGACTGGATTGTTGTTTTGTGCCATCAAGTTAGTTCTAACTCATAGTGACCTGTATAGGGTTTCCAAGAATGGCTGGTAGATTTGAACTGCCGACCTTGTGGTTAACCAGTCCAGTACTTATTCTACAGTGCCACAACAAAGCCCATAAAGATTATAGCCTGGAAAACACTATGGGACAACTCTATGCTATCACATGGGATTCTGTGAGTTGGAATCAACTTGATGGCACCCAACAAGAACAAAATTTTTCACTAAGTGAAACTGAGTGAATGTTACTAAGCTTATTAGGAAAGTAAGAAATGTTCTCATTGGTAGACTTTGGCCAATGATGATCATTTTTGCTCAGGCTTTTGATACCATGGGGCCTGCAGCATAAAGAAGTATGCGCTGCATCATCTATAGTACTTGGCACAACTAAGAGGACAGATACAAATCCCAGTGCACAAACTTGGGTGTTCTAGAAATTTGACTTTCTTTTTTGATAAAAAGTGAATGTCTATTTCAAGCTTTCATTCTCTCTGGTGGCAGGAATCTTACTTTTGGAATTCTATCTCTAGTCCCTGAATTAACACTAAATGAGTTTATAGCACCAACAAAGTATTTTTGTGTGGTTGTGGTAGTCATCAGAGTTATTCACAAAGATTCTGGCTTTCTTCTTCTAACACATGGTAGAGTATGAGGATAAGTATGGCAAATGAAGCATGAGAGGAAGAGGAGTTTATGAAAGAGAGCTTCAAGAGCCAGTGCATACTTCTTCCCTTCCATTTTTTTTCCCCTGCCACAGAAACTGGCAACTCCCCAGATAGAGTTTGCTTCATCACCCTGTTCCACGGCAGACAATGATGATGAGCTGATTTAAAATAGACATGCAGTGTAAGTGAGAAATGGATCTTTGTTGTATGAGCCACTAAGGTTTGTTTTGCTTGCTGTTTCTTTTGTTATCGAAACATATTCTAACTACCTGAAGAATGCAGGTGACTTCATCTATCTCCACTGCCACCTACCTAGTTGTCTTCATGCCTATCTTGTCCTCACTTGTTAATCCATGCTGTGAGTCATTCACCATTCACCATCTCAAGGCATCCTTGGATCCTGTAATAATGGGGTGGGGGTATCATCTGACCTCCTCTGCCTTCACAAAGGGAAAGAGAATCAAATTCAACATCAGCTCAAGGCTGATAACTATGAGATGAGGTCAGACATGCCTCCACTCTCCAAACTTCTTCACCAATGCTGACACCAACCATCCCTTACGAAGGCACTCTCTGCTGGGTTCTATAATCTATTCCAAGGGCCACACAGAACTCACAGACAATATGACTATGGGGTTTGTTAGGAAAGACAGTAATCCTGTCAGCCACACTTCACTTGGCCTCTGCCCTATTTTGGGCATGTTACAAAACTCTTTTTTTGCCACTACCATTAAATGTCCAAAGGGAACTCCACTTTGCCATAAGGTTCAGTGCAAAGAAGCTCAGCCCTAGCTCTGTGAATTGGCAAGCCCAACTAAATGCCTCAAGGCAACCCACTCCACAAATGAGCCTCCTGCCCAAAGGCGCAGAGCTTTCTCACTCCTTGGGTCAGGAAGCCTCTGCTCTGTCTCCTGCCCTTGACTCTGCTGCTGATGCTCCTCTGCCACTTCTCTATCATTCCTCTCATGTCACACCTAGAGGAGATTCAGTGTGCAGGGATCTTGGGGTCCAAAGGATGTGCCTCACTCCTGGTTCTTCTTTCTTGATGGTAGTGAGCTCTCCCTTCCTGCGTCTGACATAGTTCATTTTAAACGCAGCAGGATGGCAAACCTGAGTAATTCCCACATGAGCGTTCCATACACCCAGTCATTTGGTGGGCATTACAAAGATTGGCTAGAAGAGCCATGTGAAGTAATTGCACCAGTCCTAACCTCTCTCTGCTATTTCTGAAATCCTTTGTTGCTATAGAATCACACTGGACCTTGAGAAACCCTGTGAAGCCTTCAGGCCCATCTGCCCTCACAGTCTATACTACCACTTCCCAGACTCTCAAGACTTCCCAGAGGTTACAGTAGGGTACAAGAGCAAGACTGTTCTACCCTAGTGAAGCTTCCACCATTTCCAATTATTTCCCAGGAGACTCGGCACAGACACTGGACCTCCCATTTCCTAAACCCTCAGAACGCGTACTTTCTTTTCTACTTTCCTCCAAGTCCTACTTGCTCTAGATCCCTGCTCCCAAACCTCCTAGTACAAGTTGAGATCTAGTTGATCATAGTAACCCTACATATATGTCCTCAAACCTGGAGAACCTTAATCTTATGGATTCCAGGCTGTTAGCTTTGTTCTGTTCCATCAATTGGTTCTCCAAATCTATTTTGTGGTGGTGTTGTTTTTCCCACTCCCATACCCTCAAGGGCTGTGCTTTTAAAATTCAAAAGCCATAAATTGCCTTCTCTTTGAGTTCTATTGAAGCCTATCTTCCTTTGAGGCACTGAATAAGAACTATTTTAACTGCCTGAATGGAGCAAGGACCAAGGAAATGGAGTGTGTGGTGCTGACAGTGGGGAAGTGAGGGAGACAATCTCAACTGATATATTAAAAAGATTGTCCTGTGTTTTTGTTCAATTGTGAAGCTGAGAACTAAAGGGGAGCCCCACTCAAAGGAATCCCATGTGTGGCTATTTTAAGCCACTGTACAATCAACCTCAGTGGCCCCATTTAAGGATGCCCTTTGTATAAATGTTACCCATGTAGAACTTCTTGTGATAGTCTGAAGGGTCCTGGGTAAGGTACCTCCCCTTGAGATGGTGAGATGCAGAGGGTGGAGAGCATGAATTCCATGCACACCACAATCCTCCAGACTTGGGGAAGAAATACTAGGAAGTGCTTAACAAATAACAATGAAGATATTCTTATCATACTAGGACTTTCAGTTAAGGGCACCCCCTTATCATGAAATGGGCTTCCCTTTCCCTCCTGGGTGAGTTAGAAAATCCCAAACTATAAATGTGGGCTCTGTGCACGAGTTCCAGATAAGAAAGGACAAAGCATTCAAATGTCAACGTCTGGGTGGGATACAAGTCACATTGTATCTGTGATGAGATCTGTGATGGCTTGCAAGGCCTGGGCAGTTTCCCGTGGGTGGGGTGAAGCAATGTGTTATAAAGTGGCGTCCACAGCTCACACCACTGATGACATTTATTTTCATAACCTAGGCAAACCACTACATTCTTGGTGTCCGCGCTAAAAGAAACAACCCAATCCACTCCTCACCTCCTACCTACAACTCGCTAAACCTGCTTAGTGAATCCAGCCTGCTAGTTAAGAGTTGTCAGCGTCCTTCTCCTTACACCCCACTCTGAGGCCCTAGCTACCCGTCGGGCTCCGAGGCGGGGCCAGAGGTGGGATGTGGCCAAAGGTGGGGCGGGACCACCAGTGGGAGGGCCAGGGAAGGGGAGGGACCAGGAAGGGACAGGGTTATGCTAGGGGAGGGGTCAGGGGGGTCGGAGAGGGTTCGAGGCTTGGGCCTGGAAGTTTTGATCGGTTCCTGCTCTTTCTGCCGTGTACCTGAGCCCCTTGGAGCGCCTGCGGCCTGTTGGTGTCAGGAGCTTGTGGTGTCTGATTTCCTAAGGAGTCGGCCTCTAACTGTCATGGCTGCGGCCACGGTCTTACGGGCCTGCGGGGCAAAGAGGCCCGGCTGGCTCATGCGCGGCCCTTGGGCTCCGCTCGCCTCCGGCTTCTGCAGCCGGGGACCAGCCGAGGCCGGGCGGCGGGAACCCGAGCCGCGGCCCACCAGCGCTCGGCAGCGGGACGGCATCAGGTCAGGCCGCGCCCAGAGTCCGCTTCCAACCCCACCTGCTGCTCGTATTTGGGGAGGGGGCGATAGCAGGGACCCGGGAAGAGATGGCAGCACCGACTGAGTCCAAAGGGGTTGGTACCCTCCACCATCCTTGATCCCAGATTTTTCATCACTAACGATTCTGGCCTCCTGGGAAGGAACCCCAGAGTTTACAGGTGTGCTTTGTGCTCCGTAGCTTTTGGGATCCTGCAAGTTAGAAACAGGTGGATTTTAAGTGGGATTCCTTTGGAAGGCCCCAACACTTCTCCTAAACTCTAAGGGCAAGCGAGCTGAGTACTGGCCATTGGGGCTCAGTGTGGGCAACTCTACAGCACCGCCCCACCACTGCAGCGGACTTTGAGAAAATCGTTTGACCCTGCTCCAAGGTGAGGTTAGGTTTAGCTGCTCCTCTGGCTGTCCTCGCCCAAAAGTGCTGGAGGTAGAGACAGACCGGTAAACAGAGTTAAGGACACACTGTACTGAGCGCTGCTCTTTTCCACAACAAAGCTGAAATCCTAATGCTAAATACCTGTGCGCAAACTGGAAACTGAAATCAGCCCAATGCAGGCCTGCTGGGCACATTTTTCTGGCCAGGGCAAAGGCACAAAAGGGTGAAATCATAGCATATCCATGTATTTTTAAGTTACAAAATCAAGCTGTTATGTGTTATTTTCCTCCCTCATAAGTATGGAGTGCTGGTGTGATGCTGTGGGTTAATGCGCTGGATTGCACGGTCGATGTAAACTGCAAGGTCGGTGGTTGAAGCTCACCAGCCGTTCCTCGGAAACCCTAGACAAAGTCGCTATGGGTCGGAACCGACTCCACGTACTTAACAACAACAACAACAACAACAACAACAACAACAACAAAGTATACCAGCATAAGACCTGGCCGACCATGTTTAAATTTCTAATCATCAGATTCCAGGAGTTACCTTGAACATGGCAGAGAGCAAGTCCCTGACCTGCAGCTGTTTTTTTTTTTTTCTACTATCCTCTGGCTGCCCCTTTCCCCAATTCCTCCTCCCTCTTACTCTGCAAAAGCCTTTATTTAGCACACTGGTGTGCAGACACCCAACCAGCAGGCCAGGTTCAGTTTCCTCTCACCTGCTCAAACAGCAGCTCTTTGCCACTTCTTGGGCCTAGATGTGTCCATGGCAGAGACAGGAAATCCAAGGTCTCAGAAAACTGGAGCAAGGTTTGGAAAGAGATGGTGATTTCAAAGTTGTCATATCCCATGACCCCACTGAACTCCTTGCAGGTCCCTCTGTCCTGCCCTTTTTGAAGGATAGTTCGGCTTCTACAAATCTGGTTATGGTTTGTCTGGATTCTGTCAGGAGAACCAGATGATAAAAGAAGGGATGGTTGAGTTCTCCAGTGTTAAACATGGCTCAAAAAGGGAGATGACTGAACTAATCTATTGTAATTGATAGAAATCATTTGCCAAAAGCCTGTTACAGTTCAGTTAGTTCTGATTCAGAGTACCCTACAGTCCAGACTAAACTGTCGCAGGATTTCCAAGGCTGTAATCTTTATGTTTGGCAGTTCAAACCCACCACCTGCTCCTCGGAAACCCTATACAGGGGTCGCTATGAGTCAGAACCAACTCAACAGCACTTAACATCAAGAACAACAAACTTTAGAGAAGCCGACTGTCCCATCTTTCCCCATGGATTCAAACTACCAACCATTCAGTTAGCAGGTTAATGCTCAACCATAGCACTAAGGGCTCCTTAGAAACTGTTAAGAGAAAGGAAATCCCCAAATCAAGATTGAAGGCAGCTCTATGTTAGTCACTAAGGAGCTCTGGTAGCGTAGTGGTTACGAATCAGGCTGTGAACCTCAAAGTCAGCAGTTCGAAACTACCAGCCGTTCTGTGGGAGAAAGATGAGGCTTTCTACTCCCGTAAAGATTTACACCCTCGGAAACCCTGTACAGGGTCGCTATGGGTCGGAACCAACTCGACGGCACTTAACAACAACATGTTAGTCACTAAGGAGCCCTGGTAGCGTAGTGGTTATGAATCGGGCTGGGAACCGCAAGGTCAGCAGTTCAAAACTACCAGCGGTTCCGCGGGAGAAAGATGAGGCGTTCTGCTCCCGTAAAGATTTACAGCCTCGGAAACCCTGTGCAGGGTCGCTATGGGTCGGAACCGACTCCACGGCACTTAACAACAACGTTAGTCACTGGTGTGGTGCTGCGGGATAATGTGCTGGACCGCAAGGTTGGTCAGAACTTCAAGGTTGGCGGTTCAAACTCACCAGCTACTCCTCAGAAACACTATACAGGGTTACTATGAGTCAGCACTGACTTCAAGGTACTTAACAACAACAACACACATTAGTCACTATAGGAGTCTCTCCAGGAGAAAGAGGAGGCCGTTCTCTCAGAAACCTGAAGTAGAAGTTCTACTCTGCCATATAGAGTCACAAAGTCAGAATCAGTAGTGGAATAATAGGAGTCTCTGAGTGGCACAAACACTTAAGTGCTGTCTATTAGCCAAAAGGTTGGTGATTCAAACCCACCCAACAGGTACCTCAGAAGTAAGGCCTGGTGATGTGCTTCTGAAAGGTCACAGCCTTGAAAAATTAGTTCTATACTGCACACATGGAGTCACTGTGAATTGGATCATCTTGATGGCTGCTAAAATATGAGCAACAGTCACTGGAATCCCTGTGGGTGGTAGAAATGATTAATAATGTGCTTGGCTGCTACCAAAAGGTTAGAGGTTTGAGTCCACTCACAGGTAGTTCAGAAGAAAGTCCTGGTGTTCTACTTTGGCAAAATCAGCCGTTGAAAACCCTATGGAGTACAGTTCTACCCTGACACACATGGAATTGTCATGAGTAGGAATCCACAACTGGTTATTGGTTATATAGGGGGAATTGAAAAGGTTTGTGGGACAATTCCATTCTCTTTTAATTCCATTTCCCAAGAATTTTTTGAAGTCCCCTTATATTAAGTACTAAGTAGTAAGCTTGAGCAACTTGATCCTTTCAAGTATTCCTTTTCAAAGCTAAACCTCTCAACAAGAATATTGTCATTTAGTGAGAACCAGATAGGAATTGAATACTCTGTATTAATTATCCCTAATCCTTACAACAACCTGCAAGCTAGATAACATTATCCCCACTTTATAGTGAAGAAACAAATTCAGAGAGGTGACTGCCTGTTCAAGGCCACACAGCCAGTGGGTGAGAAGAGCAGAAGTTAGAGAAAGTCTCTCTGCCTCCAAGTTGTTCCCACTCTGCTGTGTGCCATCTGTCACAGAAAAGACAACTAGATGAGATGGAAGTTCACGATGACACTGTACCCTCTGCTGGAATGTTGTTCTTAAGTGCTGTCGAGTCGGTTCCGACTCATAGTGACCCTATGTAGGGTTTCCGAGGAGCAGCTGGTGAGTTTACACTACTGACCTTGTGATTCTCAGTCCAGTGCTTATCCTGCAGTGCCACACCAGGAGTCTTCTGCTGGAATAGTCCAAGAAAATTAGAAATGTTGTTTCTTGCCATTCACCTACAGATATTTATCAAGTGTCTCTTCTGAGTGTGACACTCACTCATTTCATAGACCTCATAGTGGTTTACAGGGATGATCCGCAAACTCATCGGAGCATCTCCAGGGACCACCTCTTGCCTCATGACTAGTGCACACTTGTAAATGGGAAGGTGACACTTTCAACATATACCCTAAAGTGACCTCATCCTTAAGGAGATTCCCTCTTAAGATCAGTGATGCTGTAGACACCACATGTTTAGAATCAAGACAGCCATGGGAGAATGGTGAGAATTTCAGGATGTGTTAGCGGTTGGGTGACACTTGAGTAAGGAAGAGACAGAAAGCTAGGGTGACTTCTAGTTTCTGGTTTATTAGACAACCAAGTGGTAGCACCAAGAGAAGGGTAAGAGGCAAGTCTTGGAGTTGGAGAGAAGGCAGTAGAGCTCAGGAGAGAAGTTTGAATTCTCACTAACTTTGGGAGTTGTCAGTATAGGGATAGTGTCGATGCCAAGGGCATGGGTGAAGTTTCCAGGGAAGAGTATGTGGAGCAATAAGAGGGCAAAGAACGGAGCTCAGAGGATCCCAGCCATTTCAGGGATTATCAGCAGGTGGGGAGTCCCTGAAAGAAATCAAGGACTGGCCAGAGAGAGACCAAACATGGAGAGAATGTGGAGTAAAGACATGGAGGAATGAATTTCCAGGAGAGAGTGAGCAATAGTGTCACCTGTGGCTGACCAGTCAGGAGAGGGAAAAAAACAAAACATAGGCCATTGGATTGGAGTTGGCAGAGAAGGGATTATTGGTGAAAATAGTTAGTGAAGTACTAGGGACAGAAGCCTGGTTATACTGGGTTAAAAGTGGACTCAGCAATTTAGAACTCTCCAATAGTGTGTGTGACTTGGGAGTCAAAGGATTAATGGAACACATGAGCAGATAATGCCATGCAGTAAGGACATTACTGGGGCTGGAATCTTTCTTTTACACAATTTTGCCTGAGGCCTTAGAATTTAATTTAAGCGTATGTCACCGATGGGATGGCAGCTTTTTATATTTGCTACAGCAAGCACACTCATTATTTTATTGAAAGATTTAGCAGCAGTTTCTCTCACCATCACTCTTCCCCTCCAAATCGAGGTTTCGAAGTCTATCAGTATATCAGCTGCAAGTAATTTTTTGTACGTAGGAGAGGATATGTTTATGAGCAACAAAACTATCACAGTCACCTGAAGATTGCCGCAAAATTGAAATGGTATTCCAAAGAAAACGGTTCTTCTTATTGCATGGAAATAAATTCACCCATCAAACTTGTTTTCCAGAAAACGATGGCACAGAATGCTATTTATGGAGGACCCAAGTTGGCTTGGTAGGAATATCAGATTAAAAAAGGAATGAGAAAAGCAGAAAGTGTATAGGTGGAAACTGATGGGAAACAGATATAAAATATGGAACAATAATCTGTTTGGCTCGCTGCCTATTTCTTATAACAGCAAAAATAAGACATTTCAGTGTCCAGGCAGTAGGATGACAATACAGGTTATTTTAATCAGCATGTGGGATACCTTAAAATAGCAAACCAGCCCTTTTGAATGCTAGTTTTTTGTTAGAGGATATGTCCAGAAGAGCCCTCTTGCTGTCTGGTTTTGTCCTTTTATTCTTTTCATATCATTTCATTCCATTCTCAGACAGCATGAATTATTTTACAGAATTACAGGATGCCAGCTTTTTTTTTTTTTTTTTTTGAGGTGAAAAACTGCTGTCATATATCCATATTGGCAGAGGTACCTTGGCTGCCTATTCCTCAGAGTGGGTGGGAGGGATTTGGGGACGTATGTTCATTCTTGGCTCTTTTCCTAACCTTGTTCTGAAGAACAACAAGAAGAAAGAAGTTGAAGGTAGCCACTGTTTGCTAGATTCCTCATGTCTCCTACCACTGCCATACAGAACTTGTGTCCTCTCAGGATGGGTAGTGATGGTTTTGCAACTGCTGTGGCTTGCCCTTTCTGTGGAATTAGCAGTCATGTTTCTGACAGCAAACCTGGGAAAAAAGAGAAACAAATCAAGGCAAGAGGGAGAAAACCAGCTGCATCTCAGGTAGTCTTTTCCTTGTTTTGACTTAGCTGTAACTCCAGAGAGCTGACAGACGCTTGAAAATGGCACCAACCTCCAGCCGTTCTCTTGCTGTGTGTTGTAAAAATAGCTCCCAAATTAGAATGGAATTGCAGGGGCCCTAACTTGTTTTGACGAGAGCATGACCCGCTAACTATAAAAATGTTCTTCACAGGAACATTGTCTTGAGCAACCCAAGAAAGAGGAATGCCTTGTCACTTGCGATGCTGAAATCTCTTCAAAGCGACATTCTCCATGATGCTGAAAGCAAAGATCTGAAAGTCATTATCATTTCAGGTATTCACTTAATATCTGTCCTCAATATTCTGCGATACCCAGAAAAGATTTCTCACAAGTCTGATGAGCTAGGACATTCCCTCCCTCACTTAACCAGGGAACAGTCTTTTAACCTCCTTTACAAGAACGTTAATCTTGGAGAACTCTTATGTAGTTGGGGTCTTGTTAGGTGCTGTCAAGTTGGTTCTGACTCATAGCAACCCTATGTACAGCAGAACAAAACACTGCCCACTCCTGTTCCAGCCTCACAATTGTTATGTTTGAGCCCATTATTGCTGCCACTGTGTCATTCCATCTCGTTGGGGATCTTCCTCTGTTTCACTGTCTCTCCATTCTACCAAGTACACTGTCCTTCTCCAGGGACTGGTGCCATTTTCCAGGGACTGATATCTCCCGACATGTCCAAAGGATGAGAGAGTACAAATCTCTTCCAAGGAGCACTCTGGCTATACTTCATCTAAGACAGATGTGTTTCTTCTCTGGCAGTCAATAGTTTTTTCAATATTCTTTTTCAACACCATAATTCAAATGCATCGACTTTTTTACTATCTTCTTTTACTTGTCCAACTTTCACATGCATATGAGGATATTGAAAAATACCTTTGTAAATTCTGTATCTACACTGTTCTCTATTTTTAGGTCAGGTGCACCTTAGTCCTTAAAAGTGGTGTCTCTCTTCTTGAACACTTTAAAGTGGTCTTGTGAAGCAGATTTGCCTATTGCAATAAGTTGTTTGATTTCTTGACTGCTGCTTCCATGAGGGTTGATAGTGGATCAAAATGAAGTCTTTGCTAACTTCAATCTTTTCTCCACTTATCATGATGTTATTGATCCAGTTATGAGGATTTTTGTTTTCTTTGCATTAAGGTTGTAATCCATGCTAAGGGTTTTAGTCTTTGATCTTCATCAGTAAGTATTTGAAGTCCTCTTTGCTTCCAGCAAGCAAGGTTGTATCATTTGCATATCACAAATTGCTAGTAAATCTTCCTTCAATCCTGATGTCACGTTCTTCGTCATATAATCCAGCTTCTCAGATTACTGGCTCAGGAGATAGACTGAATAAGTATGTTGAAAGGAAATAGCCCTGCTGCACACCTTTCCTGATTTTAAACCATTCAGTGTCCCCTCTGGACTCCTGGTGTGGTGCTATAGTGTCAGCATTGGACTTTGAACCCTACGATTGACAGTACAAACCCACAAGCTGCTCCTTGGGAACCATATACAGGGTTGCTATGAGTTGGAACCGATTTGACGGCACTTATCAACAACAACAGTATCCCCTTGATCTTTTCAAACAGCTGCCTAATGGTTGGTTCCTCTTGAACAGTGAAGTGTTCTGAAATTCCCATTCTTCACAGTGTTATCCATAGTATGTTATAGTCCACAAAGTTGAATGTCTTTGCAGAGTCAATAAAACACAAATCATTAAAGCACGAAAATCTTTGTGGTATTCTCTGCTTTCAGCCAAGATCCATCCATCAGACCTTAGCAATGTTCTCTTCTGTATCTGGCATGAATTTTTGGCAGCTCCCTGTCTTTGTACTGCTTCAGCCATTTTTGAATTATATTCATCAACATTTTACTTGCATGTGATAGTAATGATACTGCCTGATTTCTGTTGGATCATTTCAGCATTCTGCTGGATCATATCTCCTTGGAATGGGCACAAATACAGATCTCTCCCAGTCATTGGGCCAGGTAGCTGTCTGCCAGATGTCTTGACATAGATGAGTGATGGCCTCCAGTGCTGCATCAGCTTGTTTGTAAGTTCCCAGTTTTGGTTTTCGTCAATGCCTTCTGTTCATCTTGGACTTCTTCCTTCAACAGCATCAGTTCTTGATCATATTTTATTTACCTCTTGAAATAGTTGAGCAGCAACCAATTTTTTTTTTTTTTTTTTGCACAGTGACTCTATGCATTCTTCTCATCTTCTTTTGATGCTTCCTGAATCATTCAACATTTTGTCCATTGTTGTCGTTTGGTGCCATCGAGTCGGTACCAACATAGCAACCTTAGGCACAGTAGAACGAAACACTGCCCGATCCTGGCCTAACCTCACTACTGTTGCCATGCTTGAGTCCATTGATGCTGCCACTTGGCCAGTCCATCTTGCTGGGGGTCTTCCTCTTCTCCTCTGACCCTTCCACCTTACCAAACATGATATCCTTCTCCAGCAACTTGTCCTTCCTGACAATATGTCTGAAGTATGAGAGACGAAGTTTGGCCATCCTGGCCTCCAAGGAGCACTCTGGCTACACTTCTTCCAACACAGATCTGTTGGTTCTTTTGGCAACCCACGGCACTTTCAATATTCTCCTCCAATACCATAATTCAAAAGCATCAATTCTTCACTGTCCAGCTCTCGCATACATATGAGGTTATTGAAAATACCATGGCTTGGGTCAGGTGCACCTTAGTCCTCAAGCTGACATCTTTGCTCTTCAACACTTTAAAAAGGTCTTGTGCAGCAGATTTGCCTAATGCAATACTTTGTTTGATTTCTTGACTGCTGCTTCCGTGGTGTTGATAGTTGATCCAAGAAGAATGAAGTCCTTGACAACTTCAATCTTTTCTCCGTTGATAAGAATGTTGTTTATTGATTGAGTGGTGAGCATTTTTGTTTTCTTTACATTGAGATGCAATCCATATTGAAGACTGTGCGCTTTGATCTTCATCAGTAAATGTTTTAAGTCCTCTTCACTTTCAGCAAGCAAGGTTGTATTATCTGCATATCGCAGGTTGCTAATGAGTCTTCCTCCAATCCTGATGCCATGTTTTTCTTCATAGAACCCAGTTTCTCAGACTATTTGCTCATCACACAGGTTGAATAAATATGGTGAAAGAATACAACCTTGTCACACACCTTTCTTAATTGTAAACCATTCAGTGTTCCCATGTTCTGTTCGAACAACTGCCTCTTGGCCCATGTACAGATTCCTCATGAGCACAATTAAGTGTTCAGGAATAGTCATACTTCTCAATGTTGCCCATAGCTTGTAATGATCCACACAGTAATCATAAGCCTTTGCATAGTCAATAAAGCATGGGTAAACATCTTTCTGATATTCTCTGCTTTTAACCAAGATCCATCAGACATCAGCAATGATATCTCTTGTTCCACGGCCTCTTCTGAATCTGGCTTGAACCTCTGGAAGTTCTCTGTCAATGTATGGTTGCAGCTGTTTCTTTATTACCTTTAGTAAAACTTTACTCGCATGGGATATCAAAGAGATTGTCCGATGATTTCCGCATACCATTGGGTCACCTCTCTTTGGAATAGGCACAAATACGGAGGATCTCTTCCAATCAGTCGGCCAGATAGGTTTCTTCCAAACTTCTTGGCATAGATGAGTGAGTGCCTCCTGTGCTGCCTCACTTTCCTGAAACATTTCAGTTTTTATTCTATCTATTTCTGGTGCCTTGTTCTTTGCCAATTCCTTCAATGCACCTTGGACTTCCTCCTTCAGTATCATTGGCTCTTTTGTTGCTGTTGTTTTGTTTTTTAAAAGTTTTTATTGTTAATTGAGTGAAAGTTTACAGGGCAGATCATCAGTTTTACATTCAGCAAATCATATACCTTGTTTCATTACAATGATTATAATCCCCCCCTGCCCTCCAGCTCTCAGTCCCTCTCTTCCCATGAATCTAGAGTCCTCAGTTGCTCCCTTTCTCCATGTCCCCATCTGTACCTCCATCTCTGATGTTGCTGCTTCTCTGGATAGGGTCCCACATTCCTCTTGTGCTCTTCTCCCTTGATGGTCTTAGGGTCCTCTGTTTCTGGACTGTAAGATTAACTACTCCCCCATTTTGTTACAAAACTTCTACCTTTACAATTGTGACAGTCACAGTTAGTCATGATAACAATTACCCACTACTGAATCATAGGAATCTTATCCCCATCTCTTTTTACCAGACCCATCTAGATAAGATGAAAATTATTCAGGGGGCACTCTATCTCCCCCTACTCTCCCAACTTTTTTTTTTTTAAATGTTTTATTGTGAATTATGTGATAGTTTACATGGGAGAACATTAGTTTTACATTCATCCTAACGTGTATCATGTCATTGCCATGGTTACAATCCCCTCCATGCATCATCAACCAACCAAAGGGTATATACCCTGCAAGCCTGGCCCCTGGTCGTCAGCACACAGCCCCTCTCCCTCTCTGGGTCTAGAGTCCCCAGCTGCTCCATCTCTCCACGTAATCATCTCTGCTTCCATCTCAGGCATCACTGCTTCTCTGGGTAGGGTCCCGCTCTCTGCTCTTCTCCCTGGATGGTCCCAGGGACCTCCGCTCCTAGACTACAAAGGTAATCACTCCCCTCCTTGCTACAAAACATCTACCTTTACATTTCCAACCCTCACAAGCAGTCCTGGTAACAATTATTCACTATTGTATCACAAGAGACCTATCTGCATTTCCTTTCATCAGCCCCGCCTAGACAGATTGGATACTGCTCAGTGGAGATTCTACCTTTCTCCATGCCCTCTGGATCTAGGTTCCCTCTTGAAAGCTTGTAAGCCAGTCTCTTCTTGCCTTTGTAGTCCCCCATT